CTCCTGTATCGATGAGGGCTTCTACTGGTACATCGCCAACCAGGACTTGTATAATTGGTAGATGTGAGTTTTTTACGATGACCGTATTTAAATGTCTTTTTGAGGGCTTTTTTAAAACTTCCGGGGTCTGGACCCTCGCTTTCACAGGCCCCTCTACTCGTTTAAAGCTTTCTTTTCAACTTCTGCCTTCTGGGTACGCGGATGTTTTATCGATGAGTTAGCTTGATAGCTCTTTCCCCTATAAGAGCGGTTTGCCTTTCTGGTCTGCTCATTTGAAGATTTCCTTCGGGTACTTTGAGAATACGTTGCCCCTCTAGCTTTTTCCGCTATTCTGCGATTTTGAAACTTCACCGTCAATTCGAAGAGCTCCTGCAATGTGCTTGGGTTTCTAATTTCGAAGTAGTCTTGAACAGCAGGTAACAATCTTGGTAAGATTATTTCAATAATCTCCGCGTCGGGTTTCTTCCCATACAGCATATCCGTCGGCTTAATTTTTCGCAGAATAAAGTCCGTCAACTCTTCTATATCCCGTTGATAGAAACTATATAGTTCGGCTTCTAGCCTTGCTCGATCTTTCACTATGGGGAAGGCCTTTACTAACGGTTTTTTTTTTTTGAAATTTTCAAATGTATATGTCTGGCTTCCAAATTCCCCTAATAAAAATTTGCCTATGTTTTTCCACCATAGCGCGGCCTGTCCTCTTAGTGCTGATGTGGCGATGGCAACTTTTTGTCTTTCAGGCACAGGGTAGAGCTGAAAGTGATTTTCTAGGCCTTCTAGAAATATCGCCACCGAATGTTTTCCGTCGAAATTGACGTTTGGCTTGATTGACGCTCTCAAAGTCTGGACCAGGTATCCAAATCCTTCCAATTCGCTTGCCATTTCTTGGTGTTGTCCCGCGGCTTCCATCCGATTTTCGGCCATTTCAGTTCGACAAGTGTTCGGGCGCCAATGTAGAGTTGCGCGCCTCCAACCTGCACGCAACCAAGAGGTGACTGTTGAAACTGGAATTTAGACAAAGTCTTGCTAAGGGTTAAATTCCCTTTTTATTCAACTTAAGAAATTACAATTGCGTGCTCTTGACGCTCACAAACTACGCCGACCGGGCGGTAAAATAAAAATAAGAACCTGAAAAGAAATAATAACAAGACTCTAACTACGAGGCTCTCTAAACGTAACTAACCTCACCGCGTTTTACAATACCGCTGCTAATTCAGCAAACTTTGAATATCACGTTGAACGATTAACAATTCTCCGAGGCAAGCACACAGGCCGAAACGCGGGGTTCTTCAATTTCTGGCTAACTACCTCCGCGCTCGTGAAGTAAGAAACAGCACACCTCGAACTCGTTTCCATTCTATTTAACTCAGAATACTTCCGCTGATAATTTGAATCCTTGCGCGTTCTACTAAAATTTACATACTCTGGCATTGGCAGTTCCAGGGGAAAGTAAGGCTTGACAGGAAAGATAGTTTAAACTTAAAATAAATTTTAGTTAAAATAAATATAAGCCCTACAAAAGTACAGAAACAACTCTTATGTGTAAAGAAAAACTTTTCAAAAAACTTGTTTTATAAAGTTACGTAACTTCAGGACACTTACCGCTCATTAAAATATTCATGCAAATATTCACCAAAAGTTCGTTAAAATATTCAGCAAAACATAACTTAGTTCCTATTTCTTTCTGCTTTTTAATTAATCATTTCCTTTCTGTGCTTTATTTCTTATCATAGGTGCGAAATTTTCCTAAATATAATTAGATAGGGACTAGGAAAATCCTTAAAAAGTTAGATTTCGTTATTTTATCAATTTAATTTTTAATTTTAAAATGTCAATATTTGTGCCATTTGAAACATTTTTATAGATGAAAGTATATGCTTACGCACAACAGTTGCGAAAATAAAGGTCGCGTGAGGCCTTTGGTGAATACAGTATATACAGATGCATTACTTATAGCTGTCCAAGTTCAAGTTCTAAAAATCCTATTTTTGTCTTCCCAACCAAATTTATTAAAAAGCCACGCAATCAAAATCAGCTTTTATGAGGAATGAATAGAACAATTAATGCATTAAAGGAGAAAAATAAGTTACCATATAGTTAAATGGGAATAATAGATTAAACATTTACATTTACAGAATTCATCTGTAATTTAATACCGCGAATGATAAAAGCGTTCCCATGATAAATTAAAAAAGATAATGGCTTATAAATTTGAGAGTGCAATTAAATTAAAAGATTTTCATTTAGGCACCGCAAGCGTTTATTATTCGCTATATAAAATTGCAGATAAATTATGTCGATAAAATTATTTAATCTATTATTCTTCTTAATGATAAATTATTTTTCTCCTTTTAGTGAATTAATTATCATACCCATTTTAGATAAAAGCGTATTTATTATAAAAAGAAAACTTTTTTTAATTGTATTTTGTGTTTTTTAGTCTCAATTTCACGTTATCAATGATGAAATTTTAGTTATTATTAAAACACAAGCGGTAAATTATAAGAAAGTTATGAAATAAAGAAATTAAGGAAAATAAGCGAGCGCCATTCAGAGCATGAAGAAATCGCTTTCAATATTCAGTTTGGAAAATTAGATATAATTAACAGTGTTAATTAATAAGCATTTTGCTTGAAACTAAACTGAGAAAATGAATATGACCAATTCGTTATTAAGTGTGCCAAGATGGAAAACTCAAAAAGTTTTTTTTTTCCCTTCGTCTGCTTTAGACTGCTGCACATTTAAAAAAAAAATGTAGAAAATTGTTCAGTTCGTAATTTGAATGCTGAAATTTTAAAATCATAAACGTCAAATGGTGTAAAAATTGAGTGATTTTCAAAAATTCGCCAAAAGTTTAGGAATTAAGTTACAATTCTGATAAAACACTGACTGAAAAGACTTTTTCCGCTTTTTCGATGGTGCAAATTGCAAAATTCTGACATGCTTCCTTTGTTCGTTAAACGAAGGTAAGTGCGAAAATTAGTTTAAATTTTAAATAAAGAAAACTCTAAATGGAAGTTTGAAAAATTTGCTTACCACATTGCATTTTTATCGACAAACAAACTTTATACAAAATTTAAACTCGGTAATTATCAGGAAGTAGGTTAAAATTCGATGACATAATTCCACCCACAATGAAACGCCAAGAGTTGATTAAATACAAATAAAAGCTTATAAAAGAGAACAAATTTCTTTAATAAAATTAATAAGATACCGTTTCTATTAAAATATCCATATTTTTAAAACTTATAACTATTTTTTAATCTGTGATTTAAATATAAAGCATGACAGAAATTTCAACAGCTCAATAAAAGCTGGCCTTAATTTGCAAAAATTCGGGCTCATAAAATAGTTTCTGATTTATACATCTTCGGCAAATAAATTCATAAATTCTAAGTAATGCTCAAAAAAGTTCGATTTGTACTCTCATTACTTGTTCATTATTATTATTTTTTAATATGAATATTACCCGCACTGTAATAAAGACAATGATTTTGTATGAAATGACATATATAATATCTTTGATAAAACGTCACATTTTGTTCCAGAATTAAACCGTTCATGGTAAGCCCAGAAACATTGTTCCGAAAATGAAATGTGTTGGAAATTCAAATATTTAAGTAGAAATTGAAAACTGTTATACACACTCGGATACCATCTGCATATTTTATCCAAACATTTGAATGCAAATTTTGAGAGCAGATATCATATAAGTCTTCGGATTTCTAAGTTCGATAACTTGCACTTATTCTTCCTAGGAGATCTCGGGGTAATTCTTAATGAATAAAAAGGAGCCTAAAAGAGACAGCTAAAACTAATTAAATGCTTCACATAGTAAAATTCTAAATTCCTACATATATATGGATTTGAGAATTTTTCTTCATTATGGGTAGTAGCACATATTTTCAGTAACAATTTTTTAACTATTATTTTTAATACATTACTTAATGATTTTTTACAAATTATCTACAGATTTTATAATTTGCATCATCAGAAAAGTAAGCACATATGTATACGAAATAAATTTTTTGTACGGCAAATAAAAATTTAAAAATAGAAATGTTTGAGCAGAAATTACAAGAGTCAATCTTTTGTCCATATAATTTCTTCATGAAACGCAAGGCGCAGAAATAGATATATAAGTATTATACAAAAGAAACTTTAAAAATTTAAGCTATTTTAAGCCTTCAATGAGTCATGAGCAACAAACAGAATAGGACAAATAGTGTAGTCACATCATATATTTGTGTTTCAAAAAAATTACTTTTTTAAAAATTATTTGGAAATTTTCTTTTGTCATGTTGGATCTTTATATATATATATATATATATATATATATATATATATACTTTTGTTTGGTAAATTTAAATATTTTACCTCAGGTAATTTTATGATTTTAACGGAACATCATATTTTGAGCTGTATGATTTTAATGCAATGCTTATTTTGAGCTTCAAGCCGCACATTAATACATACACAACTTCCACTGCCTTATTGGTTCGTAAAATGATGATTTCCTTTACAGCATTTTACTTTTCTTCTTCGTTTTAGTTGTTAGTTTGGTTTGAGTTTATAATTCCTAATAATTTAACTTGCTATGTTATTTAGATCTATGTTCTTTGCATTTGATATTAGGCAACATTAGCAAATTTTTGACAAAGTTTGTTTCTGAAATTTTTGTTACTTTTCCGTAGGTTGGTAGGAAACAGTATGCATAGATTTTTATAAATTTATTTTATTTGCGGAGTTACGAAGTGCAGAAGATTTATTTGAATTAAGCAGCTTTAGGTCTTCGGAAGTTTAATGAGAATGGTAAAAAGCAGCTGAATTAATTCTGGTGTTCTTTAAATTTATCGATATTTGATCGTTTTTGTAAGAGATGACAGTTATTTGATATATAAATATGCAATAACTTTTCATTGCTTCTAAGAACTTCCGAAAGGAAAGATACATATTAAATGAGTTAACTCATGCAAAATAAAAAAGATAAGAGTACTTACCGGATGACTGCTGTCGAGATCCGGTTCAAATTTAGATAAAACATGCGTACATCTATCCAGGTCACTAATGTATTTAGGGAACCAAATTTCTGAAAAATAACACGAGGACTGATGGTAAAACTCAAGTGTAAAACTTGATGCATATTTTGATGCAGGTTTTACACTAATGTGAAATTTTCAGGACTAAAATTTCAATTTATATATATTTTAAATTGGATGATTATTTAAGCGTTTTTAAAGAAACAGAGGGTGATAAGATAAAAACTGCAAACAGCATTTCTTGTAAGTGGGTTTTCAAATCATGAATTAGGTAAAAAATCAAAACGTAAGAAACGTTTAAAATACAGGAAGTTCCTCCTCGTGTTGCAAAATTTTATGATAAAAGATATAAAAATTTGTCCCCTACATTTGTTATCAAAGATTTTCGATCGCGATTAAAAATTAAGACTTAAACACGCTTGCTGCCTCTGCGCTATGGAAGTCGGTCGTCCATCTATCTTAATCTCGTATTTTCATGAAAGTTTTTCCTTCAAATGTTTTCACACAGTTACATCCTTATACTCAGGATGAGATGAGACTCTTCTATGTGTAGCATTGAAAACAATCTTCCAAGGAACATTTTTCCTTGAACTCCAGAGTAAAGTCCATCCTCAGTTTATTATGTGCAATGGTTAGTATGTTGCCGAACGTCGAGGTAATTTTTTTTTTTTTTTTTTTTTTTTTTCAGATTGGTAGTGGATATTCAACTCTCTATAGTAAGATGGCCTATTTAGTCCTAGTGGAAAAGTAGTATGGAGCCATAATGTGAAGCAAGATACAAAGCAAGACCGTGAACAAATGTATACTTGGTGCAGTGGAGGGATGCATATGGTCAAAAGTGGACTGCATGGCTTCTTGGAAAGAAGGACAGTCAGGAGTATACAAACTTACAGGTGACTAATGGCATCATGTGGTGAGTAAATTCCTGGGTGAAGCTCCGTATTTAACTGGATTAGAAACTACAACATGAGAAATAAAACTATAGTAAAAGGAAATGGATAGTTGTAAATTAGTAAGGCGTACAGCAGCTGCAGTGCACCAACTGCCCAACTTGGTATTGCAAATCAAAGCATTACGTTTGATGATATACAACATGAAATGGGTATTGGCATAAAAGCTGTGCCCACATTACTGTATAACGATCTAAAAATGCGTAAAATTTGTGCTCATGCGCATTGACCTGCATAAACAGCAGTGTGTCATAATGTTCCAGGAAGTGTTGCGTAATGCTATGCACGTTTTAATAACACGAAGGAGAAATCTGCATGGTCGATGATTCGCCATAAACAAGGAACTGCCCTGAGAGGCTATCTATGAGTGGATCCGGAGTACTCTTAAAGATTTCCTAGGGAAATCTGAAAGCATCATTTGTTTGGGTGGCCATTACTTGTAACATTCATGTATGTATTACGAAAATTAAAGTACATTCTCTCGCTTTACTATCACTTTAAAATAGGCACTTCAAGGTCATAGCGACCCTTCCTTCATTTACGAACGCAACGTGTGTCGTCATCACTATACAGAGGGAATTAGGATATTTTTAACAAATTCGAAGATTCTAGCCTTTTTCCAGCAGTTTTTGCCATGGTCATGAGTCATGAAATAGCCCTGAAGTACTTAGTCCAAAGTAACAGACCATGTAGTCTTAATACTAATTATTATTGAACAACCCAAATATCTTCATAAGTGTGTGTTGTACATGTTTTTCGTTTCAGCAATATTTAATAAGAATAAATCGCGCACACATAAATATCTGAAATATTCATATTATGAATATTTGCATTTGAGATATTCAAATTATGCTAAACATTTAGAATTCCTCATTTGATTATTAAGTTTAGAAAGCTTACCCTACTCTTAGTTACTGTACGGATCAATCAGTCTTGATTCAATACGGTTTAACTGATTGAAGAGGAATCAATTTTCAACTAACGATCAATCATTAGGGGAACTAGGGAAGGCCAAGATTAGTATTTCTAGAATTTCAATGAACTGACAGAATCAGTTATTAAAAATTACGCCTATCTGTTTATATAATATTTAGTTTTTTAAAAGTGAGTTATGTTTCATTCATTTTTCTCATTCTATATGCATTAATGAATACTAAGGAATTCGAATGCTGTGCGGAATATAAAGAATTCAAAACCATCTCTTGAAGAAAAAAATCCCTAACAGAAGGAATCAGAGTTAAGATCTGGTATAAATATGGACACGCCGCTTTACACAAAGATAAAAATTCATTTTCAAACAATAAATTATGATCGAAAAAAGACTGATTTGTGCAGCAAGAGTTTGAGGAAAAAATTTCTAATAAAAAATATTTAGATAATCCAGAAGAGTAGGTATATTGCTGGTAAAATCTCTTCGTAATTCATTACTATATGTCGCTAAGCAAGTCAGGTGACCGATAAACTGATACTTGTTCCATATAGCTAATATACATGGGAATAGAGTTTTGATAATAAACCTTCTGTTTTCCCCGAATTAAACTTCATAGAAGGTGCTTGACGACTGCTAATTCAATTGTAGAGCACATGTTAAAGCATTTGCTTATCCGAGGAACAGGTGCAAAAATGTATGAGACTACTTTAAAGGGTTAAATCAGATTTCATTCAATTTTAGTCTTAAAATCTCGTCGGCTTGGCCGGACTTTCTTAATACCAATATTTCATTTCGTATGTAATTATTAGACTCTATAATATTAAAAATTATAAGCTATTTTCATATAAAGTACAGGAAAAGAGTTTCTAATCATAAAAGAGAGCTAAGGTACCTTTAAAATGCAACCTATCGTCAGAAACTATGGAAATGGCTGCTGCATCATTCTGTCGGACGTTCTTGATGAGATTCAGCAAACCTTTTCTCCGAAGAACTAACTTTACTAAGATGTCGAAAGAGGAGTTTACTTTTCTCGAGCGTCTTGTCTCAAGGTGCTGAATATGGCCTCCACAGCACTAGATAGAAACAAGTTAAAAGTATGCACATATAACAAAAAAAAAGGGGGGAGAGAAAGAGAGAGAATAAAAACTTAATTAGCCAGTTTTTTTCACTTTATAGGCATTGATGTCAGTCTTTCTTAAATACTGGTCCTTTACGCCATGTTATGTCAAATTTCGCTACCAGTCATAGAAAGTTTGACTACTGTACGGAACATAAGAGTTTTAGCGGCTTAGCTTGTTGCTAGTTCTCAAAGTGTTGCTATTTCAGGTTCTATAGATTTTTTTATAGCAGTTTGACGTAATGAACACTTTAAACATAATAAAAGAAGATTCTATACCAGAACTTTGATTTTTTATTGTACAATGCCAAGTAAGATGCAGATGTACTATGTAGAATACATACTAACACTAACTACACACGTTACGGTTTCCAGTGAATAAAAGGAAAGGCTTTTGCGGAATGAGATAAAGCGCCTAGTGATTAAAATGAAAGGCATTTTTAGAATTGTTTCCGTCTTGACAAACACGCTAGTATTTATCAGTCGGTTTTACTATTTAAACAATTTATAATGTTGTGTAATACTTGGATCTCGTGAGATGGGCCTTAGAATTTCGAAATTAGAAGTTTTTAGTAATCCCGATGAATGTATAGCATATAATTATGCCCCTCTCTTGGGTTGAAAATTAGGATGCTAGATGCTCAATAATTATGAGTGGCTTGACCTCACCAGTTGCGTTTCAAATCGATGGAAAGATCTGTCTTTGCAGAACATTCCATGAATCCAAGGAAGTCATGGAAGCTAGCTAGCAATCCAAGGAAGTATGAAAGCTAGTATTTATCAGTCGTTTTTTACTATTTAAACAATTTATAATCTTGTGTAATACTTGGAGCTCATGAGATGGGTCTTAGAATTTTGAAAGTAGAACCAAAGTTTGGATTTTCTCATGTTACTGTTTAAAGAATGTATCGTAACTACAGGAATTTCACAGCATTTTTAACTTATGACAAAAATCTGGCCATAAAAAAGTCAGGCAGTAACTGCCAGCATCAGCTGGCAAGAATCACTTCACGTGATGGGAGCTTAACTTTGCTTCAAGCAACATCGGAATTCAATACTAGGATTTCAGCAAATATTAGCGTGAGGCCTGTGAAATGTTACATTCATTATATAGAACCAATCTTCAGCCAGAGTAATCCCGATAAATGTATAGCATATAATTATGCCCCTCTCTTGGGTTGAAAATTAGGATGCTAGATGGCCAATAATTATGATGCTAGATGGTCAATAATTATGAGTAGCTTGACCTCACCAGTTGCGTTTCAAATCGATGGAAAGATCTGCCTTTGCAGAACATTTCGTGAATCCAAGGAGACTGAATTTTAGCAAGAGACTAAACAAACTGTGTTAACTTCTTAATGTCTTAATGTTACTGTGTTTAATTGATATTTACTGGGATCCCTAGACAAAAGTTTCCCCACGGATGAACTAGTTGAGAGTATCCATTCATTCATTCATCGACGTTGACCCAGTCAAGTAGGCGGTCAACACAGAGGTGAAAGCTCTAGCGTTTTAAACTTAAATTTGTTTACGATTACTTCTGATTCTGACAATTTCAACCTGCAGTGTTACCTTCAAGAACGCAAAAAAATGTCCTTTTACACGAAAGAGGCACAAGATAAAGGATTTGACACAATTATTGGAGACTAACCGGCAAAACTATGGAAGAAAACATGGCTGACATTAAAATGCGTAGCCCAAAAGATTACGAAAAATTAAGAACACTTCAAGCAGAAACTAGAAAAGAAATTAATAATGAAAATGAAAACGAAAATGAAAATAAATTCGAAAAATTTGATAACCCTCAAAAAGAAAGCGAAACCACATTCTTCTAAAGAGGCTAAAGAAATTCCCCAAAACAATAGATTCGAAACTGAAAAATAATGAAAAACCTCGACCCACCGAGGCGTCTACCGAAGCTGAAATCCACCCGTCGAACAGTTCCAGACAATCAACAGAACACTATTGATTGTCTGGAAGTACACGAACTCCTTACTCAAATTTGTATCGAAGAAATTGAAGTTGATATGAAAGCGAAATTATTATATGTCAACATTAAGAACATACATGATTATCGTAACGCTACCAAACTTCTACAAGAGAACAAAATTCCATTTCACACTTTTCAAATTCCTAGCAAAAAACCACTCAAAGTTATACTGAAGAATTTACCACAAACTAGAAACTAGAAAGAAGAAACCATTCATTTACCACAAACTGTGAAAGAAGAAACCATCCATTAAGATCTGGAAAGACGAAATTTTCCCATCTTAGAAATGAAACAATTCACCCGCAGTGTGAAGAATAATCATGAAAAATTGCCGATATTTCTCCTTGAATTAAAGAAAACGGAACTTGGCTACACACTACACAAACTGAACAATATGTTCAGTATGAATGTTAAAAGAGAGAATTACAACCCGAAGAAAAGGATTATACAATGTTTTGGATTCCAAGAGTTTGGACACTCTCAACACTTATGTCATAATCCTGAACGCTGCTTCAAATGTGGTAAACATTATAGAAGTCAATTATGTACTCTAAAACCTGAAGAAAAACTGACCTGTTTATTTTGTTCCGAAGCCCCTGTTTGTTCGTATCGTGGATGTCCCGAATATAAAAAACGTTTCGAGGGAAAGATAAATCCTCCAAAGCTTACAGCTCCTGCAATACCTATTCCCTCTTCTGCCGATTTCCCGCAAACTTTAAGAACCGAAGAAATAACTGAAAATATCATTTCGAAAGCAAAATATAGTGAAAAACTCAAGAAGAGACTTTCCCGCCAGAAGAAACCAGAGAAGCTTTAGAATGGCTTCAAGATCCAGATATTAAGAATTTCTTAGGAAGTATTATCTCACATATTCAAAAGATCCGTGGCACCAAATCTCCAGCAGAGAAGTTTGCCGCTGGTTTTAGTGCTGCATTAACAATTATGAAATTTGCCCAAAAATGAATAATAAACTTTTCATGCCTGAAGTAACTTTATTTTACTTATTTTACCGCTGAAATCCATCATTTATTTGGACTTTAATAGTGATTCAACGCAAAATCGCAGAACGAAGACAATAGTCCTTCAGGGACTATTAAAAAATCAATAATATAAAAAATTGGTTCCACAAATATTTGCAATGCTAGATGATTTCAAAAACATTCTCTGAAGAAAAGCAGAGAAACTTCAATTCCGGATGAAAGAGTGTTTTTCTTTATTTATTTCTCACTAATAATTTTAATCTATGTAGCCGATATAGAAATTTAAGTTTCATACATTCTTGCTGAATGATGTCACGTAACCAAATTTTCAGTCTGAAAATTAGTCATTTGATTCAATTCTGAGACTGGAATCAAATTTATGCAACCAGCTACTAATTAAGAAATATTTATCCACAAAATCTCTTTGAAATGCAAAGCATAATTTTGCTACAAAGCCAAATGCAATAAGGGAAGTGGAAATAAAGATCAGTAGTATTACACTTTTTTATGTTGTTTCAGACAATCTGATTTTACGGCAGGCTTACTTCTATCCACTTGAGTATGCCAGGAAGGGAAGATAGGCCATCGGGAACTGAGAACACCAGACTAGTCAATTTTCTGTCGCTGGAATTCTCATCTGGTAATTGGCTTAAAAGTAGAATCTGAAATGCAAATTAAAAAAAAAACTAATTTAGTTACGCAATCTACAAGAAGTAAAGAAACTTTAAGAGATTTCTCAATACTCACTTCTTCTTCCGTGAGATCGAAATTTTGGGTTTCAGTAGTTTTTAGCTCCTTAATCCAGGCTTCTTGCGCTTCTTTATTTTTAGCTGTTTCCAACTTTGCATCATCGACAAGAGAACGGCGCCTCTGAATGAAGCCCTTCTTGAACAAATGGAAAAGGTCGGTATAAATATAATTAAACTAAAATCAATAAAATAATTCTAATAATTAATCGCTTAGAAAATTACAAAATATTCACGCATAATCAAAAAATAATAAATTACTTAATTTAAGTGGAATTAGGTTTAGCCCTTTTCTTTATTTCAATTTAAAAATATAAAAGTACCTTTTTAAAAATTTAGAGTAAAAGTATATTTTTAAAAATCTATACTTTCTGACAACAGAAAGTTCATCTGTTGTCCCTTCTGTAGCAGTACTAAATACCATTTCTTTTAAAATACACTAGCAGTACAAAACATTCAATTGCTTATTTCTACTTATCGATATAGATCCTCCTTTTCCAGCCAAAGGAGCTCAGCTGAGCCAGACATAAATTCAATGAGATATTATTGCATACTTTGGTATTCATGATTATTGAAGTTTCAAACTGGACAAAGTTGTTATTGCATTGCAGAATAAAGGACTATTTGCGTTAAGATTGCTAAGAAATCTGGTCATCATCATTCAACAATTATTAGATGATTAATAACTTTAATTAAACTTGGAATTTGGAAAATCAGTGCAAAAAGGGAAGATCAAAAAAACGTCTGAAACAAAATGATCAAGTCTTTCATTTCTTCCCTTTAAAAGATAGTTTTCATAGTTGTGAAAAACTGATATGTAAGTAGAGGATAAGTTGTTCAGTTGATGTCTCCTTGGACTCTAAATCGGAGATTAAATGAAAAGGTCTTAGGAGTTGTTAAGTTTATGAAATAAACCTCTCATTGAAGAAAAACGAAGATTTATATAAAGGGCACTTGATCAAGTAGGATAATCTATGAATCAATGGCGTAAAGTTGTATATGGAGTGATGAAACAGCACTTTCTTTTACACTCAGTAAAGAAGTCACATTTGTACGACGTATTTATAGTGAAAGATTTAAACTATATTGTATTGCAGCAACAATAAAATATTGCATTATACTTATGATATGACACTGTATCTCCGTACATGGAGTCGATCGATTTCAGATTGTTGGAGGAAAAATGAATGAGGTCCAACGTATTATCATGATTGAAAGAAACATGGTTCCTTCAGCTACTAATGTATTTCAATACAATGGTTACATAATTTTAGTTTGTTATTTTCTTTCGAAATGAAAAATATTTATAATTTTCCAGAATGTTAAAAAAATGTGTCTTATTAGCTTCAGAGTTTCGTTTCTTTCCATTTTCTCATGCATAATATAACTGTTGTCTTTGACATCTTATTATTCTACTGAATATTCTATAAAACATTTATATTATATTATATAACATACTAGCCGCTTTTAAACCCTTCGTCTGGCTTTTAAACGTACCGGAAAAATGCTTAAAAGACACACCTGGGACCGATGGCCGCGTAAGTTCTTCCAACGTTTTTCTCTTTGTTAAGATTCCAACCCTCCCTTGCATACGGCCCTGATGTATCATCTTGAATTTTTAGCAAACTGATTGCATGATATGTGCATTAAACATTTGTTAAAGCGTAATTTATATCCCCCTTCTTAACCACCACCTTAATTACATAAAAAATTATATTAAAATTCTACAATAAAATTAAAATTTTTTAAACTGTTTTTTATTCTATAGTTTGAATGATTCTTTTTCTGAATACAATGAAATAAACTATATCCCTTAATACAAATATTAATTATCCTAATAAAAAAATTAAGCAACTTTCCGTTGAAGGAAAAAAATCATACAAAACTTTTCAATATCTTACAAACAACGAAATAAGCAAAAAACAACATGAAAGCAACTCAAAAAACATAAAATTCCGCTCAGAATTTTACTCTGCAGAACAACTTTATAAAAAAAATCTATAAAAATGTATTATATATATACAAAAATGACAATGAAATATGCCAATCTCTTAAAAACAGTGACATAAGAAATACGATGAAGCATTGTTGCCAAACCCATATTTCTAAAAGAATGAAACTATTCAAAATGATGCGATTTCGTCAAAAATCTATCAACAACAATAAGACAGGAAAATTATTGCCAAAATCCCATTTTTAGAGATGTGAGAAGTGTACACGGAAGCTTCATTTAAATTTAAAAAAAAAAATACTAAATATTCTCATTTTTCCAAAATTCTTTTTGTAAAAGCAGTCGCAAGGATGAAAGCTTAACGTGTCCAAAAATCAAAGAAAAATAAACTGTACATTTTTGAAAGTAAACTTTTTAGAAAAAATCCCGTTGAAAAGGTGTTAAGCTCACTTTGTTAAATTAACTCGTATTTAATCGATTTATTGAAACACGAAATTTATTTTAAGTTCGTAATATAGCTAAGTGCCTACGTTTCATGACGATGTGAAAATGGACTGCGTAGAGTAAAATCTCGCTTTCCTCTAGCCCTTTATGTTTCAAAATGACGCGATTTCGTCACAAAACATAAAATTAAAAAAATAATAATAATAATAAAAAAATTCGAATTCGAATTTCGAAAAAATCCCTTCGAGGTGCACTGGCTCTTGTCTAGATGCACCTATGCACCAAATTTCGTAGCCGTGGGTCTATTAGCTTACGCGCAGCGCGAACGAAAGACACATACACAGACAGACATTTTCTTTTATTATATGTAGAGATATATCTCTATATGTAATAAAAGAAAAAGTCTGTCTGTGTGTGTGTGTCTTTCGTTCGCGCTGCGAGTAATAAATGATATATTTTGTATTTTTTAAAATTTTTTTAAATGAAGCTTCCGAGTACACTTCTCACATCTCACATCTTTCAAAATGTGAGTTTGAGAACAATTTTCCTTTCTTATTGTTACTGATAGATTTTTGGTGAAATCGCATCATTTTGAATGGTTTCATTCTTTTAGAAATATGGGTTTGGCAACAAATTTTCATCGCATTTCTTATGTCACTGTTTTTAAGAGATTGGCATATTTCATTGTCATTTTTGTATATATATAATACATTTTTATTGATTTATTTTTTACAAAGTTGTTCTGCAGAGTAAAATTTTGCGCGGAATTTTTGTTTTTTGAGTTTCTTTCATGTTATTTTGTCTTATTTCATTGTTTGTAAGATATTGAAAAGTTTTGCATGATTTTTTTCCTTGAACGGAAAGTTGGTTAATTTTTTTTATATGTAATATATATTTTAAAAATTTGTGTTTTTTTTTTTTTTTTTTTTTTTTTTTTTTTCGGAAGTTTTCTGCAGAGTAAATTTCTGCGCAGTTTTTAAATTTAACATTTGGCATTTTTGCGGTACATTTAAAAGCCAGACGAAGGCTGGTAGCGTAGCTGCTATAGTAGTATATAAACATTACTAGTTAAATTCATTTGTAAAATATAAATGCACAAAATACATGCTTTCATGAAGTATTGCAGAGCATTTGCGCCAAGCAATATGTGAAATCGCGCATAAAATGTTATAATTTCCTACACCTATTCACATATAGGGTAAGATCTTATAACGTATTTCTTCTGCCTTCTTGGTGTGGTGGTCTGCACGCTGGGCGCATATTTCAGAGGTCCGCGGTTCGATTCCCAGGGAAGGCGTTGCTCATTTTTCAATCTCCCTTGCTTCCAAAAAAACCTAATGTCTCTACAATGGCATCCAAACTGAAAGGGTAGATGAGGAACCTCCACACCCAGGATTTGGCGACTTTGTTTCCTAAAAACTCCAGTCGACCTTTAAAAGGGGGAGTACATAAGGTATATCTCCCGTCTTCCTAGCATGCCTTCGTAGTGTGGTGATCTCCACGCTGGGCGCGTATTCCAGAGGTTCGTGATTCGATTCCCGGCAAAGGCGGTGTTCTTTTTCATCTTGCCTGCTTCCAAATTAACCTAATGTCTCTACAATCTTTAAGAATGAGCTTAGAATTCTTTTTATTTAAAAATCTTCATCTCATGAATTAGATATACGTACTTTCATATTTATCAAAATCTGTTCATTCTTGTTAATGATTTTTTATAAAATTCGAATTTTCTAAATGTGTTTGATATGTCTTATACAAAAAATTATTCAGGGGTTTCTTTTGATCTTCTTAATTTCGATTTTCTTCAATAAGTAATCCCATATATGCTCTTTGTATTTACTCACGATGAATGTACGCACCGAGCAATTCTGATGAAATGAAACCTGCGCTCGATTGCCTCTTGAAGTACTTGAATTGAGAATCTAATCCAAACATTTCATTGAAATGAACAACCAACATTCTGCTCCAACATTACTTCATGCAGGATGGAAAGTATTTATAAGTATTGTATATCTTTAAAGACTTCCTTCTCTTTTTCTTTCTTTCTTTTTCTAGAAACGAGTTACAAAAAAAATTATGATTAAAGAATATTTTTAATAGCTCTACGCATATTCGGAAAATGCATTTTTATTACATAGGAGACCGTCTGATTATCTGCAAGAAAACTTTCTTTCTGAAAAAAGACGTGTTTTGTAGCATAGTTAGATAAAGCATAGTTATTATTATCTCGCTTTGATTGGCTCATTAATAACAACTATAATGACCAAGAGGAAAGCAAGCGGAAACTTTCTCCTAATGGGATGGCCAATTACAGCGAGATGGGTTGAATATGAAAAGAGTTTGACTTTAGTCTGATAAAGGTCATTTACGAGTTATTCATTTCCAACACTATCTAGCCTTCGAATGATTTGTTTATCTCCGCTTTATCCAGATGAATTAAATAACATTCATAATAACTATCTGGATAAAGTATATTTTTATCTTGAAAAGATTTAATTCTCGTTCTGATTAAAGGAGATATGCTACGCTACGGATAATTAAATAATTACTGAATAGTAAATTACAGTTTCCTATCGCCAACATTGTACTAATGTTAAAATGAATATCTTCAGATGGCTGTAAAATTCTTGGAAGAGAATTTGAGAATTATTCCTATGCAAAGTGAAAATTGTAATTTGTTTCCTTCTGATATATGATAACAAGGTCGAAATGGTCAAAGGCAAGATGATTTTTGAGCAATATGC